GTTGTTATAGAGCGACTATTGAAATTAAGTGTATCGTAAAGTTGTATTCGGAAAGAATAAACCAGTTTTATTTAAGAAAGGACTTGTGTCGCTAAAGTTTCGTCGGAACGAATTTACGGAAAATTATCGAACGAACGGAGACGTAACGATACTATTTTGAATACATCTAATGTAATCCACTTAAAGCTGTTAAGTGGTTAACTAAAATATTTTATTTGTTTAGTTTTAAACGTTTAGCGGCTGCTTGTTGTTAAATTAATTAAAATCTACAAAATAGACTATCTGTGTTGTGCCCACCGAACGTAACGAAACCTGATTTTTAGCGTCATAAGCCTCAGACTTATCGCTGAGCTGTTGAGAGCTTGCTTAAATTAAATATTTATTGTTAATGTTTCGTTTCATTTTATACTGTTTACAGCGGCGAGTCTGCGGGCTAATAACGCTAGAAGTCAGGTTTCGATATTCCTTGTGGGCACAGCACATTGTGTACTTTGCGCTTAACTACAAAGAAATAAAAAAAGCGCCACGTAGGGACAGCCCAACAACTAGAAAACATATTAACAATATATTTAAAGGATATTTTGTTGTCTGACAGAAAATAAGAAATACGCTTCCTCTGTTGTTTGAAGTAAACAAAAATAACACTTTTTTTTCAGTAAATAGGCAGCAAATAATAAGTGCAGTAACTATCATTTTTACTTTTAATACATTACTAAAGTAGTTAAGGTAATGGAAGCCCATTGGGGTATTCTTGTTCTAATTGCTTTGAGAAGAGCATGTGTCGTACTCTAGCGGTGATTATCACAAAGGTGGTCTTTTGGCAGGCAGACTTTCTAAGAGAACGAGCGGAAATATGTTTAGGAAAGAATGATATAATTCTAGGTTTAACTTTAACAGTGTCCTATGGTTGTTGGTGTACGCTTAACCTACTGCTAAATAAAGAAAATGGGAGAAGAAAGAGATCAAGAGCGAGGTATTTGAATTTTGTAGTTTTGATAGATATATGCATTAGCAACTTTTGGTAACAATAACATTAAAAATTCAATATCACTATCAGTAAATTAATTTTACTTTTTAGAACAAAAGAAGTCGTGGGATAAGCCTAGTTCACGGAGTGGTATCACTAATACTATTACTAGCATTACAAATACAATTACTTGATGAATTAGTATTAGTCGATTTCAGTAAAATGTAAACTAAAACTTAGTAAAATATTGTCTTCAGATGTAGTTTGAATACTACTTATTAGTTAAATATAGCTTTTAAAAAGCATAAACATATATAACTTTAACGTTCAAAAACGAACTTAATAACAATAATAACTTAAGTTGCCAAACAACGATTTATAATAATTAATATAACATACAAGCATAATGAAGTGATTTATTACATTAAACGTTTCGACACAAGGCAAACTAATGATGTTCTGTCGAAAGGTTGTGTACTTAAAGCGAAACTAAAAATCATCCTGGCCAATAGAAACTTAGAATGCATTGTTTCATCAGTTGATACTGTCGCTTTTAGTTTTAGTGTTAACAATATTTTTATTTTTTTGGCCGTAATCCCAATGATATATCACTAGCTTTGACCAGCTTAGGAGATTTAGGTTAATCCTAAATACAAATTTTAGTAATATCATTCAATATATATTTATTTTTTTATATAATTAGCATAACTTTGGCATGACCTGGTAGTTGGGGCATTGGCCTCGCAAGCTGCAGGTCCTAAGTTTGAATTCTGTCATCAAACATGCTTGCCCTTTCAGCCATGAAAATATTGTAATGTTATGGTTAATCCCACTATTCATTGGTAAAGACTAACCCAAAAGTTGGAGGAGGGTGTTATTGACTAGCTGCTTTCCTTTTATTCTATTACTTCAAAAATCTAGGCTGTCCTGTCTTCTAAATTAAACTTAAAGAAATACTTCTCAGTGCCAACACTTATGATTAAAATATTTATCAAGCCTTCACTTAATCTTTATTAAATTAACTGTTTCCATCACAATCCAAAGGCCAACTACCCTGTTAGAAAAATAATTTGGATAACTCCAGTCTTGCCAAAATTTATATTTGTTCACCTAGTACTACCATTTTCATTATAAAGTATGAAAAAATTCCTTCAAAAATCTGTTTTATAACACCTCATTCATTTTTTTAGAGAAAACATATCAGAGATCTGAATCTGCCGTTGTATGACAACTTTTCCATCATTATATTAGTAACCCTCTTCTGAAACTTTTCCAACAATTCAATGCCCTTCCTAAGGTAAGGAGCCTAAGACTAAACACGGTTACTAAACGTGGCCTAACCAGTGTTCGATTGTCTATATTTAACCTCTGCAAGTACAACCTAAAATCCTATTTGCCCTGCCACTTGCAATGGCACATTGCTTAGATGGCTTAAGTGAATAATCAACCAGACCATCAATATCTTTTTCTTCTATAACACTGTTAAACTTATTTTCATTAAAATTTTACTCGTAACTAGCTGCAACCCACAAAATATTTGCATAAGTTTTCATGTCATTCACTTGAATTTTCCTTATTCTATCATTTTTACACATGGTATTTCAGCTACATTTTCTTGCAGGCATTATGTGTTAGACCAATAAATCTTGGTCTATTAGTCAGACAAGCAAACTCACTTAGACAAAGAAACCCACAAAAATGAACGATAAAACCTGCAGTAAAGAAGAAAGTAGATAAAAGGTATTTATAGCCATCTATGTAATGAACCAAAGCTAATTATTGCAAAGTAACATAAATATGAAGCTGTAATGAAGGCGAACTTAACTGAATATTCAGAAATGTTTGAATGTGTGTCCACAAAGTGATAAGCATATGATTTTGAATGAACTGCACATTCTTTTTTAGGCCTAAATAAGTCGAAAAAAGACCATTGCAATTGTATTTAGTGTAATGTAATTTAGGAAATTACATGCAGATTAAGTATTTTGTGTCAAATACCTTGTAAGTAAAAAAAAAAGTAAAGTTGAAATTGAAGCCAGTCATCATGTCATGACAATGACATTGTTCCATCATTGCATTAAGAAGTTTGACTAAGCAAAAAACAGGTAAGGTGATTCTGAATTGAAAATCCAGTCTGCAATCTGGAATTCTCAGACAAAGGTCTTTCTAATGATATGGGATTTGTAGTGTACTTTAGCATAGTAGCAGAATTCTCCTCTCACACTCTCTAATCCTTCCTCTACAGAGGTTCTATCACACTATTAAAGGAAGATTTTCCCTTTGTGAATCCATGCTGGTTTTTCACTACATGATTTTGTAAAGCTTCTTTTATCATACTTTCTAGAGTGTTTCCTACTACAGCAATAACACTAACTGATCTATAATTGTCAATGTAACTATTAACACACATTTTACAAATAGGAGTAACATTAGCAACTTTCTAATTACTATCACTTAAGCTAATCAGTTACTCAAAATTATTATTTAATTAAGAGTTTTCGGTTTTTATTATTTTTGATTATTCTAACTATTGTTGCTGTTAAGTTTGCTACCAAGTTACCACCCTCTCTGAATCACCAATGTTTTATAAACTTGAAGTAAAAATTAATAAATAATTATAAGGCTAAAAGTGGACAGTGCACAGATGGCCCATTATTGATTCAAGGGTCTTGAGTTGATTTCCATTTCCACCAAACTTGCTCACCCTGTATTTGTTAAAGCTACTAAGGCTATCTGCCACTGTCACTGTTTCTAAACTGCTAACTAGATGGAAAGCAATTGTCTGGCAGCACCAAGTGCCTACTTTTGTTTATTTATTTTTATACTTATCATGATGTGAGGAACACTATTAATTGATTAATTGGGCCATTGATTAATTGAATAGCATATACTGCTAATTACCAAGCTTTAAACTAGATCTCACTCGAAGCTGATAATAACTTAATGTAGTTATTTTCATTAAAATATTTTTAATTTGAATTCAAATTTGAATGCAGGGGGCAAGGTTTTTGAATTGTATCAGTTGTAGACTTGATTCACAATTGATGTAAAACAAACTTCTCAGAACTAAATCATGAAATAAGTATCTTGAATTTATATTTTCACTCATATTTAATCCCCTCGACGTGGATTCCTGTACGTGGTGAGGGGACCTCCCAGGGAAG